TATCATTGAGGAGGAGTAAACTGCTATAAACAATGATTTATAAGCGCTATTCTATTGACTCTAGGTGCATTAAAAGTTCCGGAAAAGAGAGCGGCGGAGCCCATTCGCATGTCTACTGTGGAAGTGTTATGGTATCTGGCGGCGATCGGCTCAACGACGATCTTGGGAATTTGAGCGGGAGAAAATCCAATAACGAGGCTCGAGGCGTTAGGTTACAACCTATAGGTACCTAGGTTATTTGCAAAATTCAGACAAATACATAGAGCTTCCCTGATTTCTACTATTATTTTGGTTCTTGGCTCGGTCGTGAACATTTTGTGCTGCAGGACCTCGAACGTCCACAGCTCTGTTCCGGAATTGATCAACACCAAGGCAGAATATTAAAATGACGAGGAATATCTTTGTATTGCCTCTCCAGAAAAGCCCAGATGCCCAAATACAATGCCCAAACACCAAACATTCAAATCAAACCTAACTGTAGATATATGTACATATATTCCCTTCCTCTTGGACTCTACGTGTTATCACGGCCAACAGGCATATATACACCCCTATCTTGGGGGTTTCCTCCTACACCCGCGCCACCCAATCCCAAGGCCGCAGCTTTCTTGCCCTCGCGCAATTCAATAACTCTCTTAGCAGCAGCCCAGCCCAGTAGGCCGGTAGTGCCTAAGATGAATCCCCAAACTATGATCTGATCCTTGCGGCTGTCGCGTTGGAAACACATGGCCACGACGTCGTTCTCCTCGGCTTCCTTGCAGATCGGCAGGTGTTGGGCCAGGCAGAAGGCGCGCGTGCATTGCGAGCAGGAGGCGGACGCGGCGCGCTCATTGAGGGGCAGTGATCGCAGTGATTGACCCGAGGGAGGGGACCCGGCGTTTGCGAAAGAGGTTGAGGAGTCGCCTTGCGGACCGAGTTGGATTAGGGTGCTGTTCTTGAAACAGGTACATTTACAGAATGTCGGCGCGGCTACGGTATGGATTAGCTATGCGAAATGGGGCGAGGCGCACTGGTATTGGAGGGTAGAGGCTTACAAGCCGCGGCGACGTAGGAGATGAGGGCACCTATGAGGAGGAGGAAGAGATGAAATCGCAGCATTGTGTTATCGTTGAATGGTCATTTAGATTGGATATTGCGATGCCCAGATCTGCTCGTACATCGTTTGAATGAGGCTCAGATTTGACCATAAGGGATCGAGCAGTTCAAGGATCAAGTGTTACAGTATCATTAGATGGGTAGACAAGCTATAGTAGGCAACTCATGAGATAAGATGGCTATACATAATGTTGGTTGAAGCTTGAACCTCCAATACGAGTGACGAGACTCGACAAGACAATCGGATTGATGCTGATAAGATACGGTCTTTGCCGGTATTGTCTATATCAGGATATTACATAAGTAGATGCTTTTCCCGCCTGCAGCTCCACCATCTGCATGTGCGACGAGAGCTAAGCAGAGGTACTTAGGTACATGGCAATTTTGCGGTCGGTATCGCGAACACCGATCCCTGGCGATTAGAAAAAAAGTTCACAACCTTCGATACCAAGCTACTATACTGTACATGTATATAGCAGCCACGACCTCAGTGGCGCATTCGACGGTATCTATCTCTTAGTTATCTAGTCGATTAGCCATAATGCGCCGGATACCGCGCTTAAGACGGCCGTCGAGCCTATCCGCCTCGACATCCCGATCTCCAATCGCACCCTTAGTCGGCCAATGCCCGTCTACATCCTACATAATCTCGCCCTCACATCGTAGGCCGATACCCACGAATTTCCAATGTTCTACATTCCTACGATTCTACTCGACCGATAAACAGCCTATTTCGCAGAATTCTACTCAAAGGGCTGAGGCGGCCCCGACAGACGACGTTAAGGAACTGGCCAACGAGGGTGTGGAAGAAGAGGAATTGCAACTTTCGCAAGAGTGGGAAACATATGTTCCGCCACCGCAGCGTAGCTACGCTGAGCGGGCCGACGAAGTGTCGGACTCCGGCTACGTGCCTGCGTTAACGGCTGACGAGCTGGAAACAGTCGGTGGGCTAAAAGATTGGTGGGACAAGCCGGAACACTGGTCCCAGTCGGCCGACTTCACTGGATTTAAACCGTTGGAGAAGGTAGTCGATCCAGTCGTCATCGAGACTTCAGTACGGCGGGCCGTCGTGGAGGCATTCGCACTGAGGCAAGCGGGTCGAGAGGATGAACTGGTGGCCGCGTGGCCGATAGCAGGGGAGGAGGGACTCCGTCGGCTCATGGCGGTAGACATCAAGGTTGCTGAGAACGGCTCTGTGTCACTGTCCGGAGATGTCCCTGCTATATTAGAGTCACTAAACTGGGAGGTAGAGGAAGGCACCTCGGGCGTGTCAGTGCTCACAGCTGAAGAAGCCCAAACGGTCAAGGAGGCCTGGGGTCAGGACTGGAAGGCGGCGCCTCTGTCAGATCCCCGAATCAAGTTCGCTGTGAGTTATGCTGGGCTGGAGATGGCTTGATACCCTCTGGAAATAGTATATCAGACTGACACGCAGCTTCATAGATCACGAAGCGAATTTTCCAGCTCACGGGCCAGCTGGTTCGTGACCACCAGCTTTCAAGCATCACCGACGTCCGGTCATTGCTTCGCGCCGTCCAAAAACCACCCAAACCAAAGACCCTGACCCAAGAGATCCAGGAGCGCCGGCAAGACCTCGTCCAGCTGCCGAACGTCTCCGTCGCGACAAAGCGCATTACGAGGGGCGACAAGGAGAAGGCGCTTGGGAGATTCAAGCTCATAGAGGAAGAGTTCAGGAAGAGGGACTTGCCTCTAGAGGGCCACGGCTTTATCAGGAAGAACAGGGAATATTCGCGGCTCAAGGGCGGAGTATAGGCAAGCTAATATTGTACGATATGCGCGCCACACGCGAGGCAATATGTATCAATATATCGAGGTACAGAAGTTCCTCTGGTCTTGTAGATATAGGACGCACATATTGCAATCTGTTGACCGTATATCCAGACGGGTCTTTGTTTTAGCTACTGGTGAATGTATGTGGTGAGCCGAAACCAACATCGGAGGCAGTCGGTTAGAAGTAGATTAAGTTCTGAATCGAGAAACTCGCGGCTTGGGTTACTCTAATAGTAGTACTAGGCGAGGGCAATAGCGGCTGGTTGGCATGTGGAGTTGCTCTTAATTTATTCGCTTCCGTCGACTTCGACTGAAGTAGAAAAGCGGGAGTTGTGATAGGAGGAAAGCTGCTGTTTTCCGTTTCCATATAGTATATGTTCATAAGGGGGCATATATACTTGGTCTATTACGTATAAACTCCTCCCACCTCGCCCTCCCCAGTCAAGGAGGATAGGAAACGTCTCGCGAGAAGGCGTTCTCCCGAGAAGCATTGTTGCGAAAGCAAGGTACACCCCGTCTTATACAGTAGGTCTACTCTGGCGCATATTGGACGACGTCTAAAATCTATTGCGTGTGGGCCCCCATCTTGTCTAATAAGAGAAGTCGGTGATGTTGGTTCCGTTTAAATATCTCAGGATCTAGTCACTATTTAGTTGATGTAAGGACTGCTATTGTCATAGCTAGGAGCTATACTCAACTTGACCCTCATCTTGTTTTCAACCATACCGAAAGATTGCCATTGAATTGCCATCGTCATATGACTGACAGTCTTATGCTGGATCCTAATGAATAAAAAACGTAGTCTCACTGGCTCAACACTCATGTATATACACTCTAACAATCATCTCTCAATCATGGACATGACTCTCAAGCGAAAGACCTGGTGCATAGATAATGACCTACTACATAAGGAAAAATGGTATGCCTAGACAGAGAATCACTACATAGATAGGCTTAACCCTGATGGTCTTATTTAATACAACCGATAGTCAGAGGCAGTTACTTATGCCTCTCGATCCGACGGTTAGCAGATGTAGCGGTCCCCTTCTATAAAGGAGAATACTGGAAGAGATAGTTCTGAGAACCCCTCTTTACGTTATAGTATCAAGGGCAGTTATCATGTATATGATAAAGTAGTGTAGAACGGAAGAAGAAAAGAGGAGATTTAGCTAGTAAATAGTAATCAGCATCCCATGTTGGAATTTCAGACATCTGAAGGAACTATCCGAGGCAAAAGTCCCACGCTCTCTAGCCAATCGAGCTACCACCTAAGCGATTATTTACAGTACTTACGAAACTTGCCGCTTATCATATACGAGTATAATACTCCTCCAAAGTGCTGCGGCGACTGTCTATAATGAGTTACTCGAATGTCTAAGGTTGAGGGTTGCTGGGATAGGTAATACTATTCTAAGGATGTCAGTGGCAGAGCTGGGTGTCTAGGCGATGCTGATGCTTCTATCATACGCACCGAGATAAGAAAGGCGAAGTTTGAATTGCAATCCATGAATGCTTTATGATGAGCTTATATGTAATAAGAATCCCCGAATACTTCGTGAATATCCATCCCTATTGTTTCTATCTAGAATAGGGGCTAAACTCTCCCACCTAGAACTGGAGAGTTAAGGGGATGAATCGCTCCTTACCTATCCCAAGCATAAGGTCGGACTTGCAACAATTTCCAGCTGGGAACATCTATAGATAAATAGTTAAAGGTCATACAAGTTGACAGCCTGACGGCCCTTGGTATGTATGTATAACTTAAACGTTTCAACCTCATACCTATCGGTTCAAGCTTACATTTAATATCACATCAACTGCATCTTACCCCTATTTATACTAAGCCATACATAATAGTCTTGAGAGGTTTTACGGAGGGAAACTACCAGGCGGGACGACTGCATAAACCTAAAGCGGTCGCTTAGCTAGGGGTTGCTTATTAAGCGGGCCGCATGACGTACAGTACTATTTCTTAGGTACTTAGGTACACTGGGTAGGGTTGGCGGACTTTAGCGACTGAGCAGAGTGAGTCAAAGATTTTAAGACGTATTAAGAGGCTCTTCGTTATCCAATGGTTACCCCGGTATTGGAATCTCCACCGGAACTCACCAAATAGAGCCTTGGTAGCTCAATTGGCTAGAGCGTGGGACTTTTACTTCGGATGCTTCCTTTAGGCGTACGAAATTGCAATATCCCAAGGTTGCGGGTTCGACCCCCGCCTGAGGCGTTTATTCTGCTTGTGTTTTTTTTTGGGCATTTTTTCACGTCTCGGTTAATCCGGAAATGATATTATATCGCGAGAGATGACGTCGGGCTTCACATGCGAAGAGTGTACAAATTGGCAGGTACACATAGGTCGCAATTGACCACGAGTTGCGACCCATGCATAAAAAGGTACATACCTGACCAGGATGTACTATATGTCTATTCATAAAGGTAGTAACGGCCCTTTAATTTTAACTTCCATTAGGTATTGAAAATAATATTTTCGTAGGTGGCGGCAGCATGGATTTGTTCTTCAATTGATATCCATGTCTAGTTGGCATGTTCATTCCAACCTACATGTACGCACACTAACCTTGGCACCTACTGTATGGATGCATAACCGAGGTACCTATCTTATCCATCAACTTATCCACTAATGAACGCTACAATCCCCACACAGGTACCGGTAAGGAGTACCTTTCACAATGTCCCATTGCATCGTGATCTATACGGAGTACTCCTAATCAACAACCTCTGCCATGGCCTTTAGAAACACGAGCCTCCGTAGGCTTCTTGCTGTAACATCCCGGTCCGAAACCGCGGGTAGATGGACCACTTTGAGCCAATGTCATTTCTACCCCAAAAGATGCCTGCATGGTACAGCCGCCCGTCATACGGACGGAGTATTCCGGGGGCTTACAGATGATAGGTTGCCAATGCCGTGGATAGAGGCATGGCGACTCCAGCAAGAAGGAAAGGATATAGCCTCCGACGAAGCCCGGTCGCAAGAGCGCGACTTGTCCCCGAAGAAGATGAGTGACAGTTACCACCGAGTTGTCCTTCCGCTCGGTCGCGATCCTTGGCTCAGTGATACATACATCAACTCTTCCGGTCACATAAGGTCTCGACCCGCCTCTTGAATCTGCTACTTTGTCTAACTAGAAGGCTATATTATAGGCTTGGTACAATATTTATGGATCTCGACGCCTTATCAGGTATTATCGTCTACAAGCACACAGGACCCGGCGTCACGGTTGTAACTGCAGCGCTTGACAGGATCACCATCTCTCACCCTCTAACCGAGATTTGTGACCTCGAGTATAGCGGACAAGTAACGTACGCTTCGGGGAGAAGTAGTGTGGAGATTACATGTAAGGTCGCCAGAGCTAGGGACGAGGGTGAGCCCAGCAAACCTGAAGATGTGCTGCTTACATGCACATTTACCATGGTTGCGTTGGATCCCGCGACCAAGAAGCCCGTCAATGTACCGCGTCTACTCTACACAACCCCGGAAGAAGAGAAAATCTTCAAGGCTGGTGAAGCCAAGGCCTTGACTAACAAGCAAAAGCTCAAGACCTCGCTTCTGGAGACAGAGCCGAACGACCCAGAGTCAGCTCTGATCCACAAGATCTGGCTGAGACAACTCGCATATCACGATCCCAATAACAGTCTACGTCAGCCCGCTAACGTAATCGCCATGTCCAAGACCCAACTTTCGACTGCTTCTATCATGCAGCCACAATATCGCAATCGCCATCAAACCATGATTTTCGGCGGCTTCCATCTGAAGCAGACATTCGAGTTGGCGTTCTGTTGTGCTGCGAGTTTTTCCCATGCGAGGCCGACTTTCATAAGCGCTGATCCGTGTACTTTCCGTAACCCGGTTCCGGTCGGCAGCGTCCTATACTTGACCGCGACCATCGTGTATACAGATCCGCCACTTCTAGAAGAAGATGGCAGCGAGCCGCGGCAGAAGGATTCGAAGAACCCGATGACGCGGTTGCATGTGAGAGTTGATAGCAAGGTCAGAGACGTCGAGCACGGAAATGCCAAACCGACCGGTCAATTCAACTATACGTTCTCAGTGCCCAAAGACGTCAAAGTGCTTCCACGTATGCTCGCTCGATCTTCAATCCCTGCTTCCTACCCCTATTCTTCTGAACAAGCGCCCTTTCTCTTCCTTCCAAAGTATCAAGGGCCCATATCATCAGTTGCACAATTCGAATTCTCTTGCAAGACTACTTACAAATGGGGCTAACTATCGACTATTTAGATACATACCAAGAATACATGATGTACATCGATGCGAGGAGAAGGGTGCAGCTCGGAGACGTACAGGACCGTCAGGAGCACAATGCCTCGGAACTCCAGCAATTACAATCGACCGATAACGTCAATCTTACAGAGTGAGAGCAAAATGTGAGAAACTACTACTGACTTACAGTACGGTATTTCGATCAATGATACCGCTCGAGATATACCTAATATTCTGCGTGTGTTACTTGTCTTTTCGAGTTAGACGGGGAACGGCTTTAAAATAGCCACCATGCCGCAAGGCTAAAGATACTCATACTTATGTACTTATAACATAGATAGACAGCTTCCATAGGTACATACATATATACGGTTGATGATTCTCTGGTTTGAAGCAGGTGGCTTAGTGTCTCGGCCTCTAATATGTTTGGTGGTCTTCTGATATGCTAGTAGCCCGTACAATAGAGAATGATACCAAAATGAAATAGCGAACATGGAATAGAGTTGAATCAATAAGATACACATGCAGCTATTGAGCTAGAGCAACTACTTCGTTAGGTTAATAACCTTGGAACTAAACACAGTAGCAATGCATGACTGGTATGTCCCAACTCACTCACCATTAATCAGTGCTATCTAAAGGAGCAGGCGACGGAGCCTTTAAAATTCAAGTCGCTTTAATTCTTTATTCTGTTATAAGAGTTCTATGTAAGAAGTAAGTGATTTGGTTTTCCTTATCGCTCACCTAATGCGATAAGGATATCTCAGGTGACACCACAGGTAATTAACGCACGTGCAGGTACTTAAGGTACTTCTTGCGGCGTACCTACCCGTACCTCAAGCCACTCCACACAGTAAATTTAGACCCACAATTAGGCACCGCCACTTTCAAAATTGAGAACTTTCAAAATTGAGAAAAAGGGTAGGGTTTTCAAGCCCTCCAAAAATTTTGCCGAAGCTGCAGGATCCACTTCGATCCAGTCGTCAAGCCTTTACCTTTCGTGAATTTCTCGTGCCTCCAATCTGGAGAATTGAGACGACCTGCCAAAGACGACCATTCTTTCCACTACTGACCCTTGATCGCAATCAGTCACAATGGTGAGTTATAATACATATCGACGATTGAATCCGAATGAGCATGTCGCTAACCCGTCGATTCTCTCCAGGCGATCAAGCACAACAACCAGATTCAGCACAACCGTATGTCCCAACCGATGAATCGAGCGATTATATTATGCCTCGGCGCTACAGTTAGTTAATTAACAATACTGACTGAAACCGTATAGATTTCCGAAAGGATTGGCAACGCCGGGTCCGAACTCACTTCGACCAGGTATGAGGTACCCCGTTATTGGAGATGCGATTTGGAAAAAAATGAAGACATTTTCTGACATTGAGATGGATACAACTATAGCCCACCAAGAAGATCCGCCGCCGCTCTCTGCGACAGGCTAAGGCTGCCGCTGTCGCCCCTCGACCCGTCGACAAGCTACGACCTGTTGTCCGATGCCCGACTATCAAGTACAACCGCCGTGTTCGTGCTGGACGTGGTTTCACCCTCACTGAGCTGAAGGTATATATCTTAACGCTATCTACGGCAAAGGCATCGCCTACTTTTGGTTCAAGACATTCTAACACATGTACAGGAAGCCGGTATCCCCCGCCTTGTGGCACCTACTATCGGTATCTCGGTCGACTATCGCCGACAGAACCTCAGCGAGGAATCACTCTCCGCCAATGTGGCCCGCCTGAAGGCCTACAAGGCCCGATTGATCGTCTTCCCCCGCAAGGGCGCCAAGCACCCCAAGGCTGGCGACAGCAAGGATATCGATCTCAGCAACACCCAGATTGTCCCCGCCGTCAGTGCGGCCCTCCCCATCGTCCCTGTCGGCGCGGGTATCTCAGAGATCAAGAAGAGCGAGATGCCCAAGGCTGTCGAGGGTGGTGCCTACGCGAAGCTGCGCAAGGCACGAAGCGACGCGAGACTGCAAGGTGCGCGGGAGAAGCGAGCCAGGGACAAGGCCGAGGCAGAGGCCAACAAGAAATAAGTTGGTGGTTCTGCACGGGAGTAAGGATGGCATCATTAGGGTTCTGCTTTCGTTGTGTTGTTGGTCGGTCATGGCGGGTTGGCTTGCGGTTTCTGTGTAGCCACGAGAGAACGGAACATCCTCAATCTCTCGCCACACAACAATGGCCGAAGCATTATTGCATCTTCCGGTTTGCTCTCTAGGTCGTTCTCAATGGAAAAATGAATGGACATGATCTTTTAATGCTTCAAGGCTCCGTGATATGAAGCTGTGTGAACTAGCACGCGGATCGAGATCCAATTCTATATTCTCGAAAGGCAACAGGGAAATCAGACATAAACGATCATTTATCGGGATCTATCAATATCTCGGGCGCTAGCCATAATCATAAAAACTTCGACTAATCTACTGACTCGTCGCAGATACAGTAACCCCCTTCGACTCCTCGCTCCTATCACCCAGGACCAACTCTCCGCCTATCTTTAGTATCTGAGCGAATGTATTCCTCGCCGAAGAGGGGAGCTCATCCAGAGATCTCTTCAGCAATTCGGAGATCAGCACCAGCCCGTTCTCCCGATCAACTTTCGTTATGGTCGCCGCTTGACCTGGTTCCAGCTGCTGCGGCTCCAGCTGGCCCAATCCACCTCCTATCTTCGTAATGTCCAACCCAGGAACCTCTGGCGGATGGCTGCTAATGTCCTGATCGGATATCTTGCGCCCTGTCACACCTTCAACGAGGATATCTACGATCTCGGGATGCTGTTGTATGCCGCGCGTTACGACGGCGGCTCCTTCCGAAGACCGCGCCATCAGCGCTAGCACGAACCATAGCTCCGACCTAAGCACCGGGAATTTGGGCTGTAGGCCGAGATACAGTAACATGTCCGCTAGCGCCGGGTGCTGGTTGTAGAAAGCTTGTAAGGCAGATCTTGCTTCTTCCTCGGACGCCGATGAAGTAGAC